GAAATCCCTACAGGCCTTCATTTCACAGAGCTCCCCCTCAGGAAATCCCTGAACACCCTCAGGAAATCCCTACAGGCCTTCATTTCACAGATCTTCACTTCAGAAAATCATTAAAACTTCAGGAAATCCCTAAAGACCCTCAGGAAACCCCTACAGACCTTCATTTCACAGAGCTCCCCTTCAGGAAATCCCTAAAGAACCTCAGGAAATCCCTACAAATGTTCATTTCACAGATCTTCACTTCAGAAAATCCTTACAGCCTTCATTTTACAGAGCTTCCCTTCAGGAAATTCCTCCAGATCTTAATTTCACAGACTTTCTCTTTAGGAAATTCCTACAGACCCTCAGGAAATCTATACAGACCTTCACTCCAGGAAATCCCAGCAGACCTTCACTTTAGGAAATCCCTGCAAATTTTCACTTCACAGACCTTCACTCCAGGCAATCCCTGCAGATCTTCAGGAAATCCCTACAGACCTTCATTTCACAGACTTTCACTTCAGGAAATCCCTAAAAACCCTCAGGAAATCCCTAGAGGCCTTCATTTTACAGAGCTCCCCTTCAGGAAATCCCTAAAAACCCTCAGGAAATCCCTACAGGCCTTCATTTTACAGAGCTCCCCTTCAGGAAATCCCTCCAGATCTTAATTCACAGACTTTCCCTTCAGGAAATCCCTACAGACCCTCAGGAAATCCCTGCAGATCTTCAATTTAGGAAATCCCTGCAGACCTTCCCCTTCAGAAAATCCCTATAGATTTTCAATTTAGGAATTCCCTGCAAATCTTCCCTTCAGGAAATTCCTGCAAACCTTTCCTTCAGGAAATCCCTACAAATCTTAATTTCACAGACTTTCTCTTTAGGAAATCCCTACAGACCCTCAGGAAATCCCTGCAGACCTTCCCCTTCAGAAAATCCCTATAGATTTTCAATTTAGGAAATCTCTGCAGATCTTCAGGAAATCCCTACATAATCTTCACTTCACAGACCCTCAATTCAGGAAATCCTGGCAAATCTTCCCTTCAGGAAATCCCTGCAGATTTTCACTTCACAGACCTTCACTTCAGGAAATCCCTGCAAATCTTCAATTTAGGAAATTCCTGCAGACCCTCTCTTTAGGAAATCCCTGCAAATCTTCCCTTTAGGAAATCCCTGTAGATCTTCACTTCACAGACCCTCAATCCAGGAAATCCCTGCAAATCTTCCCTTCAGGAAATCCCTGCAAATCTTCAATTTAGGAAATTCCTGCAGACTTTCATTCCAGGAATTCCCTGCAAAGCTTCACTCCAGGAAATCCCTCCAAATCTTCCCTTTACGAAATCCCTGCAAATCTTCAATTTAGGAAATCCCTGCAAATCTTCAATTTAGGAAATCCCTACAAATCTTCAATTTAGGAAACCCCTGCAGACCCTCCCTTCAGGAAATCCCTACAAATCTTCACTTCACAGACCTTCAATCCAGGAAATCCTGGCAAATCTTCACTTCAGGAAATCCCTACAAATCTTCAATTTAGGAAATCCCTGCA